GCGATACGCAAGGGCGTGGGCGGGTCGCACCTTTTGTGCGCTGGTGGCACGCGATGTACGCATAATCGCCGCCAGGATTCGTGGCGGGTGGCCGATAACGTCCCCTCGTCGTTCCGCGAACCTATTCCTTTCTCACCTCTTCGCGTCGCATGTCTATCGATTACTCGGACACGCGTCTATCGGAAGATACCGTCCGAAGTAAGTATTATCCGGCCGAGAGATGCGACGGTACACGAAATCACGCCGGCCGGATGATGCTATTTCGTAACGACGTCTAAACGGAATCCCCGGGAATATTCTGACGCTCCTCGGATGCTAAACTGATCAACTCCGCCTATTCTTAATTTCTTAATTTTAGCATATAATTAGCACTTGATTCTTGAAAATAAGTTTTTATATTAAGATTCAAGAAAATTATAAAAGGGAAAACTGATTACTTTCTCGCTTCAAATAATTATATCAATTAGAATAATATCAGGCCATGAGTAGCCAAGCATGGATGTTTTATTGTCATTAATAATGTCATTAATAATGTCATTATTAATATTCAAATAACACTAGAACATCTCCGTGCTTGCTTCCTCATGGGGTCTCATATTCTATCTTAACCTTTCATTGGAGGTTCATATTAAAAAATTTTAAATTATATCAGTTGAGACTGATAAAGAAGGATAAACAATGAAGAAATATAGACGCAGTTAAATTAAAAATACCATTGTTTTATCACGCACGTTTTATCGGTCGATGAAGTCGACCTCGCGGATATTCACGGCGGAATCACGTCGAGAGTTGCGATTCGTCATCGAATTCAACGTCGGCAACCCCTTTGGACAAGCTCTCGGCGACGTGTCACCGGGTCCGATGAGAAATCGCGCCTAAATTGCCCGCGCGAATCACGATGGGGACTAAGGCGAGCGTCCGCTCGTTGCGCGCTCGGCCGGCCGGGAATGGTTATGAATGGACCACGATTAGCCGGTCGCCTCGCCGTAGTGGCGCCGTACCACGCCACGGACTTCTTCCATTATGGAAAATTAGGTCCTAATGCGACCTCGACCCGTCGCTCGCGACTCCATCGCCCATTGGCGTAGCGAGGCGCAACGCTGTGTCATCGTTAAACGACGAAAAATATGGCGCGACGCTTTCAATATTTAGCGTTCGAATATTCATGAACGTAAATGGCATAAAAACGCGACTTTGAAAAACGATGCGCTCCAATGGCGAGTCTGAATTACCCCTTGTGCGTGTAATAAAGAAGGCAGACTAGCGTCGCTAGTTAAAAGAATGAATGAACTAATTAAAAGACCGTTGGCAACCGGTCGCCGAGGATAGTTGCTCTCCATTCTGTTAGAGTGATTCGATCGTAAACTCTCAAGATGGCGCTATGAGACGACAGAATTCATTCGTTAAATGACAAACGAGGTATATAGTAGCTCGATAAAAGTCATCCCGCTCATTGAATTATAGATACCAGATTATCGGCCTGCGATACAACAAAGTTCCATTTTCCCGGACAATTTCTCTGATGCCAGGAAATATTCCCGAGTTTCTTTATCTACTAGAAGTCATCGTGGCGCGAGGCTTTACATATGCTTCAACATCGTAACTAGGTTTACTTCCACAACTTTTAAACCTTACATATCTCGACCGTTATAAATGCACAAAAGCTGAAAGTCGCAATAAACCTTGGTAACTAAATGTTAACACATTATTAATCGATTGTAAAAAAATTCGCGCTTTATTAGCCAAGCATTGCTAGTCGACCGATTCGCGAGCAAACCTGCGTTCTAACGTTTCGGAAAACAAAAACAGCAAGAAACAACATTGTAAAAAGTTTTACGTCAAATCCAAAACATTTTTGCATGTCCAAACGACCCACACAAATTTTCATGCTAATCCAACACAAGGCGAATATGTCCAAATGTAACACAAACATTATGTCAAAAATCGACACAGAATTAACATGCTAATCGATACCAAAGCACAAAATGCGCCACTTTAACACTCACACACGTTGAACATCGACTCACAAAATAGTGAGACAACGCAAACACGTTAAGTTTATACGGTAAATTTTTACGTTAAAAATTTAACATAAAAATCTTGACAAGACCAATTTTAATACAAGTACACGGAGAAAGTAATATAGTAAAAATTACCACAAAAATTTACAATGCTAGACTACACCGAAATTATTATCGAAATTATTATGCGTGTTGTAATCTTTAGTAATATGCACACATGATATATATCACTAAAGATTACAACACATGTTATAATTCTAGTCATAATTCCGATATGGTCCAACACTACAAAATCCCGCAATAATTTCCACTGCAATATTCTCACACCGTCGACAAATTTATTTCATTATGAGGTGTTAGAAAACGTTGAAAACGATCAGTTAACAAAACGATGGCAAAAGCCCATGTGAGGAATGTTGGGTGAAAAGTAACAGACGCGTTCGTTGACGCTGAAAATGGCCGGTCGGCCGGCGTGTAGACAAGGTGCATTCGGAACGAGAACGAACGCGCCGCTAATCCGGATACGCCACTGAGACGCTTCCCCGAGTGTGTTCCACTTTACAAGACAGAGCCGATAACATTTGAAATTCAAAGCGCACGATTAAAATCGCATTAGGTTCCTCGGCGAGCGCGTACTCTCTCGCGGTCCTCGAGAGCGACGTTACGATGCCGCTGTTTTTAATACAATCCTTCGTGAGCACCCGGCGCCGTTCGTCTCACAAAACCGAGCGAGCGGGCAAATTACGCTCGTCGGTGTCGTTTTCCTGCTGTTCCTCACGATACAACTTTGATTTGCGGCGCGTAAACTATACACGAGCTCGCATTTGATTCTATCAAATGTCCGATACAGTCTCATTGCGCTCACAAATGCGCTCATTAGCGCGGGTTTAAATTGACTAATGCCCACTGCAACGGCGGTTTTTCCGCAGGCCGATATCAATGCCGCTATTAATAGCGCGAATAGCGATATATTTTCGACGCGAGTCTCGCGCGGCTCCACTCGATTCGCGATCGTTTTTCGCCGGCCGCGATAGATTGCCGACAGATAGTGTCGTCGCGGCGGCATTATCGCGGCCGGGAACTTTAATACCTCGCTCAGGTGCTGAGAGCGCGCGTTGTAACAGCGAGAAATAGCGCGAGAGAGCTGCGGAGATCCGTTTGTGTTGTAATAAGCGAGTTAACGCGTGAATGCGCACGGAACGAGTATGCGTGAGTGCCGTTAGAATACTAATACGTTAAACGCTCTCGCGCGCGATCAAATGAAGATAAAATAGGCTGTAATGGCTTTGCAGTAATTAAGTGATTGTCCAAGAGAGAGAGAGAGAGAGAGAGAGAAAGCGACGGTGGAAGGCGAATATATTAAAATATCGCGTTTCGACTTCCAGCCGCAACGAGCGGCGAATCATTCCATAAATAGTACGTGATCGCCTCTTTTTATAAACGCAATTACCTTCTTAATAAAGATTTTACACTGAGATTTATATGCAGTCTCTCGTATCGATCTAAACCGCGGCGAGATACCAGTGCGAGATGCGAGCCTCCTCTTCGGCGGGCAATTAATCGTCGGGCACGCCTGACGCCTAACTCGATCGCGCGGATCAGAGTTAATACACGCGCCCGGGGAGGAAAAGAAAAGCGGCAGGAAGGAGGGAAAAAGTCGCCCGCGCGAGCGGGGAATTCAATCCTCGCCTATCTGCCGTCGATTCGCATCAGCGACAGAAATAAAATCCCATTAAGAGCACGATCGCGACTCGATGCAACCAGCCATCCAGGCAAACAGGTAAACAGGCAGGCAGCCAATCGGGCGGGTAAAGAGAGGGAAAGAGAGAGAAGCGATATACAAAACAATTTGCATGTAATTTCCTGAACGCGCCGCGCATTAAGGATAATCCCGAACAAATAGCCTGAAACATTTAAAAAGTGATTACGGGGACGCGAGTCTTCAAACGCGATCGCTATTGCGTGGTCCCTCTCTCTCCTCCTCTCCCTCGTTCTCGTGCGAGACCACGGGGCCTCCTACCCGCCGACAACGAGGTTAATATACCCAGATGCCTCTCTCGTTCCTCCCTTTTTACCCTTTACCATCGGCACCGGCACGCACGAACGGGGCAGCGCGAGCGCAGCGGAGAGAGAGAGAGAGAGAGAGAAATAGAAAGAGAGCGGCCGATGATCGGCCCGGATTCCCGATCGTCGCGTGTATCCTCGACTTCACGCTACATCGGCCGCTCCGTCGCCGCGTATCGGTATTTAAATAGGGATATACGCCGGCGTAGAGTATATACCGTTATGTCAGACCGCTGGTGCGAGCGAGCCACCAGGAGAGCGCGACGGAGGAGCGCCGATACGACTCCGGGTCACGTAAGCGAGCGAGCGAGCGAGGTGGAGGAGGAGGCGGCAAGTAGTCCCCCCGGTTCGTTTCTATACGCCGGCGAGGAGAAGCGAAGAGGAGAGCCGCGCGCGGGCGGCGGTTCCAAGTCGCCAAGTCGTGGTCGTCGCGCGTGCCTCCTTCCTCCGTCGGCGAGCTGCGCGCGCAATTCACCGCTGAATCGGGTCTCTCTATCAGGGTACCCGCGGCGGGGATACGACCCGATAGAGCCGGGCCCGGGTGGGAGCGAGACGGCAAACCGGTATAACCGCGTCGGCGGAGAGGGAGAGAGCCCGCGCACCGTGAGCGAGAGGAGGTGGTGGAAGCCCGGGTCGTGCGGAGGGGACGAATAAAGTCGAGGAAACCCGGCACAACACGTAGGCGTCGATGGGACGGGCTCCGATGCATGCCCGCCCATCAAGGATCCAGCCCCTTTTTTGCCCGGGGGTCGCCGAGTCCTGGGCGATTCCCTTCCACCATATCCTCTCCCGTCTCTCCGGTCGAGAGACCAAGTCGTCCGGGTAGTCGGCAGTCTGTCACGGTGCGAAGAACGGGAACCACGGTACACCCCGGCTATTTGCCAACGAGAGGACTTTTTTTCGCTCGGAGAGTCGCGCGCGCGCGCGGACGCCGCGAGAGGCCGACCCGTGTTACCCTGCGAGGTACCGTCCGGGACTGCCGTCTCCAGCGATCGTCGTTGTGCGATACAGCGTCCGTCTCTCTATCTCGCTCGCTCGTCCGTGATCTCTCGAGTGCAGTAGTAGTGCGCGATCCACGAGACTACGGCAGGACGACAACGACGTCGACGACGAGCAAGTAAAGCGACTCCAAGAGCGAGAGGCTCCACTCCTCCTCCCGCTCGTGGCAACTATCATCGACTCGCGCCAGCCGCGGCAGCCCCGAGTCGGCCTCGAGATGCTGACCGACATGACGCCGGCGGCGGCTGGTCAGCTCTATCCCCAGCTACAGTCTATCGCGAAATCACCGGTGCACGGACACGTGGTGAGTCCTCCGCCTATTTTTCCCACTCGTGACACCGACTATCGTCCTGTGTGTGCGGTCTCTAACGTCGTCTCCCCGTCACCGGGTGCCGCGAAAGAATGCTGTTACGTGTGACGAATCGATCAACCTTCGTTCGCCATGAGAAAACGGTTGGGTCGACGCCGACCTAACCGGACCCCTGCGTCGACTGGGCAATTTCCCGGCCCGTGAGATTTTCCCGCGGCCAGAGCGAGGTGCAGGAGGACACCCCTTAATCCCAGATAGAGATCTTGAACCGGGCACAGGTAGAACGCGAGTCGCCGGTGCCGAAGACCGCTACCGTCGGATTCCCGACACCTCCGATAAGATCGCCGGGATCTCTTTTAGTTTCGAGCACCGGCGGGATTTGCACGGTCATCTCAGCGCCAGGTCAAACGTCAACGGCGGCTCTCACCCCGGTATTCATAGTCGGGTCTTATATTTAGGTTCATCTTCAAATGCTTCGCAGCTAGACTGAGAGAAAAGTGTTTGGTATTTGTAACTATAATTATCACAGTGAACAAATTATAGTCAGGAAAACCAATTCTAGTAAGTGTCAATGATAATGATCTTACATGTATGTTATTATCGCTAATTTTACGGCTAAAACTTTACGTATAAAGGTTATGGTTGGCACCGGAAATAATTAAAATTTCTCTCAGTGTAATGAAATAAGCCATACAGCATCTAAAGATGAACTTAAGACGATCTTAAGTATAAGATCTGGCTATGAATGCCGGCGTTAGTGTCGATTTGCTCGCTGATTCGTCCGCTGCGAGGGGAGACCTGTCGCAAATCGTTCGGAACGAGACACAGGGTCGGATGTTGATCGCCTATGAATGATTGAGACGTGAATCTCGCGCGATTGTTACTCCGAGAGGTTAATAATAATAAATCTCTTGGGGCTGGTCGATGACTCCGACGACGACAATCTCCCCGCGATCGGCGGTGCGACGCGATAAACACGGTGATTTATTTAACACGTAATTCTGTAGTAATCTTCTATTTCAACATGCGGCGTCATTAGACGTGACAAACGGCGGGATTGCGATTGTTATCTGTGTCTTGTTCGTTGTGCGGAGATATATTTATTTATCGTGTTATATCGTTATTACGGCGATACCCACCGACTGTTTAGGGCCGCGAGCGCGCAAGCGACGATATTACGTTGCATGTGCGTCAGCACAACAATCAGAATAAGTGAGCTCCGCACGTAATTGCCGACTTTGATAGTAACTCCGCGAAATGGAGTAATACGCTAATTAGCCGTTATACGTCTGCCTCATATTTTCTTATCGAGTAATTGCTCCCGGGTCAAGTTTATCTATGCAATTACTATTAACGATAACATTAATCATTCCTAAGGCCAAGAACGCTGCACGCGCGAGCTTCATTCGCTAGCGTTACGTAACCGTCCGCAAGCGGACGGTTACGAACGTCCGACGGTGAGGAAAAAAAAGGAAGAGGAGGCAAACGGGAGAAAGTTTCGAAAATGTTAAACTTGCCCAGCCGAGTTGTAAATTCATGCCCGCTCGGCGTGAGTCCGATAACCTTTAACGCGATTCGCAGAGATTCGCAAGAGTGATCAATGTGAAGAGTGTCATTGTCTCAGAGGAAGAGAATTTCATACTCCGCGGCATTGCGCCGCGTTACGAAAGCGTCACGCGAGCCTCGCGGATCAACCTCGCGAATACCTCGATCGTGATCGTTAAATCATCTCCTGAATATTCGAAGAATGCGAAATGGCGATACGAAGGAAGAGAGACAGACGAATGGTTAACGTCACTCAAATTATAGTCTTCTTCGACTGCATTTTTTGTCGTTCTAATAAAAAGTAGCAGAAGAACAATAATTATATACAATAAAAAACATTGTATACCTGTATTATGATCGGTTCTTGTTATTAACAATTTTTTGTGTTAAATTTGTAAAATACCCGTCAATTTAATATATCCCGTTTATGTTGTCTCAATATTTTATATTGAATCTCGATATTCAACTCATTGTATAAGTGTTAAAATGATTAACTTATTACTGATAAAATAATACATTTTGTACTTCGGTATTGATCAGTATATTAATTTTGTGTTAATTTTTGACATAATATTTGTATTATTTTTCAACGCATTCATCTTGTATTAAATTAACAATAATCCAAAATTATGTGAACCGTTTGAAACATATGAAATATAACACCAAATTTTTTACCGTCAATTTTACAAGGTTATTGCCACTGACATTATTGGCAACATTTGCTACAAAAAATTTCCCTGACTACAATTCTTCCTTTCTGTGCGATTTCAGTTAAAATTAACAAGTATTTTTCGCCCAGTGTACTTCGAAGATTCGCTTGAGCGCTCGATTACGAAGCAACAGTCCGTTATCGCGATTGATTGCGAGATCCGGCCGAACAAATAGGGACGAAGGTGCTGAATTTATAGCGCAGGATTACGGCAGGAATTTGATTCAATTTCGAGCGGACGGAGACTTCCGTCTCACTGCTATTCCACGACGACGACAACGTCGGCTTTCGAATCCGGCCGGGAAGGATCCCGGGGTTTGCGTGCGATTGCGCGAGCGGCGTTTTATCGAAAATATCGCAGATAATCTGGCGAGATGATAAACCCCGGCGGGAGAAAGAGAGAGGCGGGCGCGTATCCTCCGGCTGTCTCTGGCGTATCCGCAGCCGGGCGACCAACACAACACGTGTTCGCTGCTCTCGCTCTCCGAGCTCTTTATTTTATGACTCGGCAGGAAGGACGCGCGGTCGCCTCGCGCGGGGCCCCGCGAGATGATTTACGAGTCGACGTAAAAAAGTAATTAAATCCCCGCCGTCAAAAAGGAAGGCGTGCGAGCGCGAACGCGAGCGAACGCGAGTATTAATTAAGTCAGGCAGAAAGTTTCCTGTGCGCCGCGCCGAATATTAATGCCTGCGAAAAGTCGCGCATCCGTCGCGCCCAAATCGACATCTCGCTCGCGCCCGATCGTCCTTCTCCCCCCNCCCCCTCCCCGCCCCTCAGGCGAGTAGCAGTAGTGCGTGCCCCTCGGCTCTTCCGGTCCGGCTTTTTGCGAGCTCTCGTTACACCTCGTACACGCTTCTCGCGCGTCCATTCGCTGTTTGTTCTCTCGCTACCGGCGCTTTTGCTCTTTCCTCCTCGCTCGACGACGAACGAAGGAACGAGAACGGAGGAAGGAACGAACGAATGAACCGACGAACCTGTTTTGCGTGATCCTCGTCCTGAGAGCGGCCGACCGCCTCGCCGTGTCGTCGCTCGGGTCGTTTTTGCAAGCCGGCCGTTTTTGCATCGCGTGAGATTATTCATAGACGACATCGCCGATCCGGGATCCGGGTCTCTCTCTCTCTCTCTCTCTAACCGGCGCTCGCGAGAAACCGTGTCGTTAGTAATCGAAGCTGTATCGCGAAGGAGTCGAGCAAATTTCTTCCACGACTATATATCCCCCTTCCCCCCGCGCTATCTTCCTCTATCGAAACGAGAATATACACCGAGCCCTGTAAGAACGCTCCGGAGATCTCTTTTCTCCTTTTTTTGGGAGGTAACGAACACCGCGAGCGCGAGAGAATCCTTTCAGAGCTTCTATGTGCGAGGAAAAGCGCAAAATGAAAAGCAGCTCGCGAGTTTTTCCTCCAAATCGGAGACGTCCCGATTTATCCAAACTCGAGTGCGTCTTCTCTTTCTCTCTCTCTCTCTGTCTTTCTTGGTCCTGCTGGGCCACTCGATCCGAATGTATCGAGTGTCCCTCGCACAATGGTCCTTGCGCAAGGTTCTCAGGGCTCAAAAGGACTGCTCTACCTGTGTGTATCCGAGGAGCCAATTATTTGTCAGATCCTCTTTGTACGCCGGGGGAATCCACTTGACAGGATGCGTGGGATGGAAACGCGATGCCTACTTCCTTTCGTCACCCGATCCCGCCAATAAGATACTCTCCTACGTAAGGGTCCCCGGGTTTCTTTTGTTTCTTTCGCCCCGTCTCGGATCTCGTCAATGGGGGTTGCGCCGCGCGCTCGAGGGACAGACTCGTGAAACTTTGACGACGCGTCGCTCAATGGGACACGCGGACCTCCGCGACGATGTGCGCCGATTAACACGCTCGACTTAATGCTGTGACCAGGGGGAACGGACGGATTCGTCGTGAACGACGTTAACTCGTAGTTTACATGCACGTAACGCGGATGCCGTATATTCTATGCGACGGATCCCATCGCGTCCGATCGCCGAGCGACGTTTGGTGTCTTGCAATTAAAGTTGATAATAATCCATATAATCGTGTAATAATTTAACTTATATGATGAGAGTTGACAATAATTTATATAATCGTCATATATATAGGTGTGTCAATAATAATAATAAATCTACCATCCCATAATAATGAACGCACCGCAGTGTTAAATCTTGACGTACGGATTCTGTCGCGTCTGATTTGCCGAACGACGTTTGACGTTTTACGAGTGTCGCGGTTAGAGTCAATAATAACTCATATAATCGCCTGATCATTTAATTCATATAATCAGAGCTAATAATAATGCAGATAATCATCGTAGGTATGTCAATAATGATCATAAATATAACATCCCATCTTCCACGAATATTACAATCGGACGCACAGATTCCATCGCGTTCAATTTGTCATCAAGCGACGTTTTACGTTTCGCGATTGTCGCGGCCAGTTAAAATTCAATAATTCATATAATCATATGATTCGTATGATCGGAGTCAATAATAATGCAGATAATCATAACAGGCGTATCAATAATAATAATAAATATATCGCGTCCTGTAATAACAAATCTCTCCCTCATAAATATGCCAGATACCGCACGGAGCCTATCGCGTTCAATATTATCCAGCGACGTTTACCGTGCTCGCGATTGTCGCGCTTAGAGTCGATAACGAATCGTAAAATCGCGTAATCGTTTAATCCGTATCATTAAAGTTGATAATAATACAGAAGATAATACTTAT